TAGAACTCATAGGCCCACCCTGGGAATCACATAAAACAGTTGACCTAAAATGATTCTTAGCACAGAGGGAAGCACTCAGTAGGTCGTGGCTGTTCGGAAAACAAAACACAAGAAAATAGGAAAAGAAAAAAGTTGTGGCTGCTGTTACTAGTATTGTAATTTTTTCTGAGATTTTTTTTTTAATGTTTATTTTTGAAAGAGAGAGCATGCACGCAAGCAGGGGAGGGGCAGAGAGAGAGGAGGGCAGAGGATCTGAAGCAGGCTCTGTGCTGACAGCAGTGAGCCTGGTGCGGGACTCGAACCCAGGAACTGGGAGACCATGACCTGAGCTGAAGTTGGACGGTCAACCAACTGAGCCACCCAGGCGCCCCTGAGATAGATATTATAAATAATCCCCATCCTGCTAGTGAGAAAACTGAGGCATTAAAGAAAACAAACTGAGGCGCCTGGGGGGCTCAGTTAGTTAAGTGTCCCACTCTTGGTATCAGCTCAGGTCATGATCTCATGGTTTGTAAGTTCAAACCCTGCGTCAGGGTCTGCAGTGAGGTGCCTGCTTGGGATTCTCACTCTCCCTTTCTCTTTGCCCCTCCTCTGCCCCCGAAATAAACTTAAAAAAAAAAAAAAAAAAAGCAATCAAATGAAAGTGGTGATTCAGGGTAGAGCCAGGTGACCCCCGAGGTCAGTTAGTGCTAGTCATTTTGTTGTTGAATCTGTGTGGTGTGTGCATACTCATGTAGTGTGTGTACATACGTGATGTGTGATGATGCCTGTGGAAGGTGGGAGTGGGGCCCAGGGAGACACGGGAAGCCCCCACATGTGTCTTCAGAGCCGAGAGCTTCAGCCAGAGGGGGCAGTTGTGGCTGACTGAGGGATGCCCCGGGAGGAGGGGACCTGGGTTGATGTCTGGAAGCTGGCACCGCGCTCACCCCATGGAAGGTTCACCCCAGCGTGATGGGAGGTAGGAGAGGCTAGACTGTAAAGGCTCCCGAGTGGGTGCTGTGGGGGTGGGGGGCAGAGTGTGGAGTAGGAGCCGAACTCGCTTGGTGTCTTAGAGAGCCGGGCTCCACAAGAAGACTGCGGGCCAGGCGGAAGGTGGCGGGCTCTGCCCCACCGGGCACCTCGTGTGCTCTGTGCCAGGGCCTGCGACCTCGGTGGAGCCGAGGGGCGGGGGGAGATTTGAACCTGTCAGGCCTGTGCAGTCCTTGGATTGGGGAGTGAATATTTCTACTAGAGCCCAAGCTCTCCGGGCAGGGAAGGGGCTGGCAGGGGGGTGGTAATTGGGGGTTTTAGGCAGCACGGGGACACCACTATATGCCATCCTGCTGTGGGAAAAGCTACTTGGACCAAAAAGATCATCTGGGGTGGGGGAAGGCAGAGTGGCAGAAGGTGCCTTCCTGTGCCCACGGACACATCCTGTCTGTGCCAGCCCTGCTCACCTGGTGAGAGCTGTGCCAGTCTGATTTTGTTCACCCTGCAGCTTTACAACAGACGATTGTGCACCCGGAGGGGCGTTAGCCAGCAGAGAGCGGCTCTGACTATTCCCGGAAGGCCTAGAAGGCAGGCCTCCTCTTAGGCCCAGAGGCCACGGGGCCTGCTGCCCCGTTAGCAGGGAAGGAGGAGGGAGAGAGTGTTCCTGAGAGCCTCTGGAGCTCTGTATGTCTACATTCCAGCCCTGTGGCCCCAGAGAGATGCCCCAAGAGTCCAGGCTGTGAAGGGAACTCTCCCTGGCACCCACCTCCAAGAGTGGCTGCGGGAATCATAGGAGGCGCCATGTCTAGGCGGCTGCCTAGCACAGTGCCTGGAGGGAAGTCTGATGGCCTGAGCGCCCCTTGCCACCGCTCTGTCAGGCATTCTGCCTGTCTGGGTGGTTGGTGGTGGGGCGGATTTCGGCCTCTGGGTTTCCCTCATCCTCACCACAATCATTTAGCACACATTTGCTAGGCACCTCTTGGGGCCAAAGCTGGAGAGCCCAGGATGAGCGGGACAGGCTACACTGGGGACAATAAGCCATTACAGTAGTGTCCACAGGCCCTAACCCAGCGGGGGGCTGGGGGGCAGAAAAGGCTTCCAGAGGAGGTACCTGAGGGCAGGTGTCAGCCCTGGGCAGAGGACCTGACTTGTGCAAAGGCCTGGGGCTCCCCAGAGGGCTTTCCCAGGGAGCCCAGGGGTCTCTCTGCCTTTTCAGAAGGATGGGCTCTGTTTCTGTGTCAGAGGCCACCCCTACCCCCTCCCTTGGGAAGGATGTGACCACAGAATGTGGCTTAAATGGTGGAAGCTGGGCAAGATGGATTGTTCCCCCCACATCCTGGGGAAGGGCCACCGGATAGCCCCTGCTGACCCTGGGTCACCCACCCTGCCTCTGTCCAGTGGGCCAGGGAGAAAATCGTTAATGGGAGGCTGGCTTCTGGGGCAGGGCAGCTCCCCTTGGGGACCCAGGGTAAGGAGATTGGTTTGACCTCTGGTCGATAAGGTCTCCTGTGAGCTGGAGGAGAGTTGGAGGACAGGGAAGGAGGCCGGAGGCCCGCCCTTGGGGGAGGGGACAGGGCGGGTATGACTCAGGAAGTCATACCAGGAAGGTCGAGGGCCATGGGTGGGGGTCTTCAGGACCTGCGCCCACCAGGTGTGAACCTCAGGGGCCACTGGACCTATTCCCTCCCTGAGCATCAGGATATGGAAGGGGCTGGGTCCCAGGTGCCAGGCCCTGGCTGTGAATGGTGACAGGGGCTGGCCATCGAGAATAATGGAAGTAAAGGATGTGCACTCGTGGTGGGCTGGCAGCCAGCACCATGCGCTGTGCGGCTCAAAGCAGCTGAGTTTTCCGAGCCTCAGTTTCTACATCTGTTAAATGGGGGTGGTAGGTTATGTGGCAGGTTGTCTGGAGGATCAGAAGCAAAGCATCTTCCCAAACTGATTTGCGAGAAGTGCCCTGTCTGTAGGGACGAGGACCGTGATCTACTGGTGTTTCCAGAGAGGCTTCTGTTTGCGGGCTTCACTGTGAGCCTCGTAAAGGGCTCCCTTGTATCCTCTTAGTTATGCCTACTGAGTACTTACTCGGTGCCAGGCCCTGTTCTAAGACTTCTGTGTTTAATCTGCACCGCAGTCCGTGGGTGGGGGCCGTTAGCATCCCTCTCATGTCCTACCTGAGGAACCTGAAGTCCAGAGGGGTTAGTGACGTGCCTCCGGTGTGTTAGCTAGGCAGGGTGTTGAATCCGGGACCTCCTCAGATCATGCCTGTAGGGCAAGTGGGGCTGAAGGAAGGGCTTAGGAGCCATAACTGGAGCTAACTGTGCCCTCGCCTGTACTGTGATCTTGTCAGTCTGGCTCTGGGGCCTCCGTTTTCTCACCTGTAATGTGGCCCTGAGGATGACCGTGAGGGTTAAATACCGTGGTCCTGCCGAAGTGCGTGGGGCCCAGGCTAGCGTCGGGGGATGTGTGTCGGTCAGCTGGGGGACAGAGACCCGGGAGGGGCAGGGGATGTAGCGATGAGGAAAACACAGTTTCTGCCTTTGGGAGCTCACAGCTGAGAGGTGAGGCAGTTGCTTGGGCAACCCTGGTCCCCGAATCTCTGCCACAGGCTGAGTGGGGCCATGCTGGGGTCCTACATGCCTCACGTCATGTCGGACCTCATGGGCACACAGCACAAACCAAGAATGCCATCTGGGCTTCGAGGGTTATTCAGTTCAGATGGGACGGAGCCAACATACATTTAGGAGAAGAAAGCATAGGAAAACCCAATTTAATATTAAATGGAATGGCAGACCTCCGCATCTTTTCAGTGTTCATTTGTTTATTCATTCATGCATTCAGTAAATATTTGAGTTTCTACTGTGCTACATGCTGGGAATAAACAAGAAAGAGACAGCTCCGGCTTCCATGGTGCTGTCAGCCTAGTCAGGGAGAGCCAGACAAAAACCAGATAAATAGATGTTATGTCAGGTTGGTCAGTGTTAGAGAGAAAAAACAACGCATGGTAGAGAGATGGAGAGTGACAGGGGTGTGGCGGCTGCTTCCGTCAAAGAAGGCCTGTCTCGGGATGTGACATTGAGCAGAGACCCTAATGAAGTAAAGGAGCCAGAATGTAGAAGTCTGGGAAAGATTATGGAAACCAAGGGGGAAGCAAGTGCAAAGGGCCTGAGGCAGGTATGCTTTGTGTTTGGATTCCTCAGCAGCATAAAAGGCAGCCAGTGTAACTGGCGGTGAGGGAGTGGCAAAAGATGAAGCGGGGGCGGGAGGGGGGTGCTAATCATGAAGGCCCTTGAGGCTGTGGTGAGGACCTTGGTCTAAATGTGATGGGAAGTTCTCGAGTGTGTGAAGTGGGAGCATTGCACTAAGTGATTTGGTTTGGTGGAAGACGGGGGCAAGAGTGGGAACGGGAGGCTGGTGAGGAGGCGGCTGTAAGTTGTTCAGGTGAGAGGCCATGTTCAGGATGTGAGACTGGAGAGTTACATGTTGGCATAGCCAGAGATGGCTTCCTGGAGGATGTGGTCAGAAATGAACTAAGCCTCTGGGGACATGGAGACTTTTGGTGGGAGATGTAAAATGAAGTCTTCTCAAAGAGAGGCCAGGGATGTGGGCAAATGCTGGGTGAGTGTGGGTGAGCAAGGGGACTCTCTGCACATGGAGAGGAGAGCCTCCAGCTCCAGCCCCTGGGGCCAAGTGACAGTGGATTTTGGCCCATTCCTTCCCAGGGTGTGCCCACGGTCAAATGAGGGACCTCTGCTGCATACTGCTTCCTTTAACTGGGTGCTGTGGTGGAAAGTGCGTTTTGTCCCATAGACGGAGGCCTGATGCTTAGCTCTGCCACCTCCTGGCTGGGCCGCCTCGGACAGCGGGCCTCACCTCTTTGAGACTTGGTTGCCTCATCTGTGAAATGGGGGTGGTAACAGGGCAGGTATGAGTGTGTGCCGAGGCCTCGTGCAGAGCCAGCGCAGAGGGGGGTCCTAGATGAAGAGCACCTCGGGCTTCCCGGGCAGGCCACTGATGCCCCTTTCCCTGCTCAGGTGCTGGCGGCCGAGGAGAACGTGGACTTCCGCATCCACGTGGAGAACCAGACGCGGGCTCGGGACGATGTGAGCCGTAAGCAGCTGCGGCTGTACCAGCTCTACAGCCGGACCAGCGGGAAGCACATCCAGGTCCTGGGCCGCAGGATCAGCGCCCGCGGCGAGGACGGGGACAAGTATGGTAGGTGCCAGCCCCCCAACCCCTACGGGGCCTTGCTGAGACCTCAGGCTCAAGTCCCAGCTCTGCCATGTCCTGGCTGTGTAATCCTGCACCTGGCATTGAGCCTTGCTGGGCCTCGGGTTCCTCATCTGTAAAATGGGGATGCAGCAGTGCACCCCTGAGAGCCTTCGTGGGAGTACTGACTGAAGATGTGACTCTAAAGTCTTTTGCTGGTAAATGCCAGTGGTTCGTGGGTACCAGTGACCTAGGCATAGCCTAAAGCAGGTAGCTGCTCCCATGGCATCACTTCACCGGCCCCAGGTTCACATGCTCAGAGACGTGGGAGCCTCTAGGCAGTGTTACTTGGATGATGCCAGTGGTGCTACAAAGTGGCCTGGTGTGAGGGGTGGGTGCTCCTGTGTGCGCATGGGTGTGTGTTCTGCGAGCTTGAGCTTGTACACCTATGAGGAACGGTGGTGCCCTGAGCACCGTGGGCTATGGGCCTTTTGACCTGCCCTTGACCCTGGAACTGTCTAGCCTTCCTCTGAGATGTTTGGGAGCCATTGCTCACCTCATGCCGCCTCTGCAAGGGGGCCTGGAGGAATGAGACACACTGACTCCCTTCCCTCCCCAGGCCCCCAGCCCACAAAGGCCCTCAGCAGTGAGAGAGACAGGACTCCAGTTTCCCGGAGCTTGGAGCGGGTCTTGGGCGAGGCGCTGAGCAAATACTGACCTGGCCCCACGTGTCTGGCCTTCTTCGGCCGGGATCTGGGCGGGAGGTGTCCTGGGCCCCCGGCCTTGGGCAGGGGAGCTGGGGCTGTGGGTGGCCGCGGCGCGGGGCTGGGGCTGGGGTCCTGTGTAAGCACTGCGGGCCTGCAAGCCTAGGCTTTTCTGGGATGGTGTCCCGCCTGCCCGCCGGCCCCTGCCCATTGCAGTCAAGACATGACAACAAGACAAATAATTTCTTGGACCTTTTATCTTGGACACCATTTATTTTCCCTCCGCCCCAGGGCAGGACTGACCTCATGGTAGGGCCCAAGTGCGGCAGCTGCACCGTCACTGGGGGCTGGGGCCGGCCAGGCCGGGCAGGGCTGGGCCGGGCTGGGCTCCCCGTCTCCAGGCCAGCTGCCTCCCTTCTCTCTGTGCCATCACTCTTTACTGCCTCCGTTCCCCTCCCTCCCGCCCTCTTTCCCCTTCTTCCTTTCTAAGTCTTGTTGTTGCTGCTGCTTTTATCCCGGCTCCTCTCTCTGAGTCCTGCTCCCCTCCTTCGCGGTACTCACCCCTTCCCCTCTTTGTTTCGGTCCACCTCTTGTCTCCCCCTCCCCACCCTCCTGCCCTCCCTGCCTCCCTCCCTCAGACCACAGCTCTCCAGTGCCTCCGCCCCACCTCTCCCAGGTCCTCTGCTGGCTGCCTCTCCGGGGCCTCTGGCTCTCCGTGCCCCCTGCTGTGCTGGGCAGACCCAGGTGGTGCTTTTCCCTGGGATCTGCTGTCCTCTTACTGCCAGGGAAGGGGCAGCTGGCCGGCCAGGGCGGGAGGGAGGTGCCCTCCTGGGGAGTCCCCGGAGCTCTCACCGGCCCCTCCAGGCTGGGAGAGTACAGGGGGGTCGGACTCTGGTCTGAGCCATCTGTCCACGCCCTGAGACAGGAGGTAGGAGCTGGGGAGGGAGAGGAGCCCAGAAACGGCCATCCCCTCACTCCAGAAGTTACTTGCCTCTCGCTTCCTCTGCCTGAGCCAGAGACTCGGGGGATCTCACCTGCTGTGTGACATCAGGCAAGCCCTTCGCCTCCTCTGGGCCTCAGTTTCCCGTCTGTACAGTACAAGGGTCGGACTGGAGCAGTGCTTCTTAAACATGAACGCGCCTGTGAATCACCCAGGGATCTTGTGAAATGCTGATGTTGATTTGGTGGATCCGGAGAGGGGCCTGAGCGCCGCATGTCTAACCCGTGCCCTGGTGGCATGCCCAGGTAGACCACACTTTGAGAATCCAGGAACTAGCCCATTTTGGCTTCTGCAGCCCTACAGATCCCTGCTTTAATCACTCTCTCTCAAGGAATATGTTTATCACTCCTCCACCCCCTGACACCCAGGGCAGCGCGGGGCTTTGCTGGCTGCTGAGGCTGTTTCATTTAAGTGTCGCATTAGAAACGCAGATGAGGCGAAGGGACCCCATCTGTGAGCCCTGGTAGAGGAAGTGAGACAATGGAGCCAATTGAGGCTTCCAATCTAGATAATCAATACAAATATTATTGGGAGGGTGATTTATGTGGCCAAGCCAGCCTGGAGGATGGGGCTGCGTTAGGGGCCTGCCCTGCCTGTGGGGGGATGGGCAGCCAGTAGTTCCCAGTCAGGCCAGGCGCACCCCCCGCCCCACCCCACTGCACCCCAGACAGTCCAAAAGCCTGCTCCCTCCTTCTCAGGACTCCATGCAGCTGGAAGAATGATGCAGTCCAAGGCTTGCTTCCACCTCCAGTTATAATGCAGTCAGGGACTTGCAGCAAACCCCAAGTAAAAACAGAATCCCCATAAACACCTGGAGTCTGGAACCCGGACAGACACTCAGGGTCTCAGACTCAGGGGCAGGCACAGGGTGCAGGCCCACCTTGGTCCGGGTGCCCTGCCCAGGACCCTGACACCGTGCTGTTCTGCCAGAGGATCTCCCCATGGCTCCCTAAAGCTTTCCCGGAGCACTCTGAGGGCCCTGAGGGTGGGCCAGGCTCTGGAGGGTCAAGTGTGCGAGCCAGGAAGTTGGAGGTTTAGTTAGGTAGTGAGACAGCTGGCAGCCCAGGCCGGTGGCTCAGGGCAAGGCCCCGCCCCTCCGGCCCTCGCTCCTGGCCACCTCTGCCTCATAGGCAGTCACCATGTTGAAGAAACAGCACTGGACCGTGCAGGACACCTGGGTTTTGTCACAGCCATGCCACTGGGCAGCCCGCGGAGCTCGGGACACGCGTGTCTGGCTCCGGGCTCAGCTTCCTCAGCCAAGTGTGGATGAAGAAGCCACACGGCACCTGCCTCTGAAATTGAGGCACTGAAGCGCCAGGTGTGGAGGCCCTGGGTCCTCTTGGCTGTGGGAAGCAAGACTGCCAGTGACAGAACTGGAGTCTTCTAGAAGGGGGAGGCCTAGGGCCTGAGTCTGAGCTCCAGGAGCAGGTGGGGACCCTGGCCCCGGGGATGGTGGCGTGGGGATGACGCTGCTTTGATATGCACTATGATTGGATAGTCCTGCCAGTTGTCACTTGACAAAAGGTTTTTTCTACTTGAGAAGAAAACGGATAAGAAAGCACAAACCCAACGTGTTGCAGCAGGCCAGGCGCCCAGGGCCGACTGTGCTCGGAACAGCGCTGGGCAGGCCTGTGTTAGCCAGGGAGGTGAGCTCTGGAGAGGCTGAGCTGGTAGACTCTGGAGTTGGACAGGATTTCAGTCTAGCCCCACTGCTTGCGAGCCAGAGACCTAGGATCTGAGCTGGCCTTTCTGGTCCCGTTTGCTGCCCTGTGAAATGGGCTGATTGATATGAGAACATATCTAAAGCTCAAAGATTGTATGATTATCAAAGCAAAAACGAAAATAATAACCGCATGAACTCACTGCTGTTGTATAGGGGCAGGGGTGCCATCCTGGGCTCTGGGGGAGAGCCCGTTTCCGTCTCAGGAACTGATTCCTGGCGCTTCCAGAAGGAAGCGTGTCTCTCTCTCATCGGTGGGGCCCTGGCACGTCCGCTGCAGGCTTCAGGGGCTTCACAGCACGATTCCAAGCAGCAGGACTGCCTTTTGGGGCTGCTGTCTGGCCAAGGTCTTTGGACCCTCTTGGTGGGTGTGGCCTGGTCTCCTCTCAGTTTGAACTGGGACCCCTTACTCAGCACAGAATCAGAGCCCTGGGATCGGTGGGAAGACACACCTGGTCCCAGCCCTCTGCCGCTCCCAGGCCAGGGACCCTGCCTCATCTCAGGGGCTGACTCTGAGTAGGAAGAGTCTAGTTCTCTAACCTCCAGCGTGACCTGGGGTCCTCCTTGTTCCCTCCCTGAGCCTGGGCTCCCTCACCACGGGTGGGGGTTGGGGGCGGGGTGTGGAGGTAGCAGTCCGAGGGCTTCCACGAGAGCTCAGGCACGGATCAGTCTGCCACTGCAGCCGTGGTGTTGCTGTGCGGGGTCATGACGACCCAGCCTGTCCCTCCATAGGCCTGTTCCGCCGGGCCAGCTTCCTGCATCCCTTGCTCCACCTTGCCCCTCTGGGAATGTGAGCTCCCTCAGCGTAGTGACCCTTCTGCATGTCCCCGTGTCCCATACAAGGCTTGGCAGAAAGCAGGCCCCCACTTAAAGGCTGCTGGATGAATGTATAAAATGATTGTGGGGCAACTCGAAGCATAATCAGGGACTGACGTGTGTGGCTCCGATCAAAAGACATGGGGTGATTCAGAGCTTTTGCAGAGCAAATGACAAGAGTCGGGGTGAAGCGGGGTCCTCTGGTCTGCATCTCCCTTGCTCCGGCACCAGCTGGAGGGCTGTGTCAGAGAAGCGGGCAAGGGCTGGCGCCAAACGCCCCTCTCCACGTAGCCGTACCAAACGTGAGACCATGTCAGCGCATTGTCAGAGCGCTTGTCTTACTTAGAATAAAGCCCCAATTCTTGGATGGGGGGAAAGCCCGAATGGCCCGGCTCCTGGCTACCCCTCTAGCCGTGGCTGCACTGCCCCTTCCTTGCCCACACGGCTCCAGCCCCAGCTCCTCCCTGCCATCCTTGGGCCACGCCAAACAGGGCCCGGCTAAGGACCTCTGCACTTGCTGTCCTCGCGACCTGAGGATGCTCTTCTCCCAGACACCCTCAGGGCTTGCTCCCTGCCTCCACTCAGGCTTCTGTTCGGTTTTCTCCTCATCAGAGACTTCCCGTCTCTGTCTTCTCAGGGGCCTAGTTTTCTTCCTTAGCACCAATGCTACTAGAGAGTGGAGTATGTATTTGGCCATTTGCTCTCTGTCTCTCCTGTTACGATGCAAACCCCTTGAGGTAGGGGCTTTTGTCTGTTTTGTCCGCGG